TGCACATCCTTTTATGCAAAAGGCACTTAGTCCATCTCCAAGATTTGCCAAAGACCTAACAGTTTCAGCATTAGTAAAAAGTCCAAGTCCAAAGTCTCCTCTGAGATTTAAGGCAAATTCTTAGCTGCAAGCTCCTATACAAATGAAACGAAAGTTTAACACTTCTCACATTCAGTGGTACAAGATAGACATTTCCATTCCAAAATTGCAAATGGGCATAGTAAGAAACAGGAACAAAGCAAGACCAAAACCCAGCAGGACAAACATTAAATCTCATGGTTCCACTGCTAGCATCCCCAACAATCTGTGGCAAATTGTTAACTCCAAAGAGCTTGTGTGGCTCCACCCCTAAGGCACTTCTGGTAGTTGTAGCTCCATGGCTTCTTTCTTTGGCTGGCTTTGCTTGCTCCTTGCAGCTTTCCTTGGACAATCCATATTTCTAGCTTCTCCAACCTTCTGGGGTCTCCACTGCACCTTTGGCTTCACACTCACAGCTTCGTACACTGCCCTCTCACGGACAGACTGGATGTCCTTCAAGGCCTTTTTAAAAAATCTGAGTGGAAGCCTTCCTGTCCCCACAACTCTTGTATTTTGAAAGCACCTAAAGCCAGCACTACATGGATGACACCAACGTCTGCTGTCAGCTGGAGTAGTAGCCGGGCTTCCTTGTCTCTTGACTGTAGGGGTCCTGTGCCTATGAACAAATCCCGAGGAACAACTTCCCTAGGCCACCATCATTCTGGAATATGATGCTGTAGGGCTCTCTTTTCAAAGTCTTTCACTTTTGCAATTTTCAGATTGCAAAGGATGGAGTCCAGCTGCTCCTTCTGATGCCCTCAGGCCATCTTTTCTATTCTCTTCCTTCTCAGCAGCCAAGATCTCCTCGGCTCTATCTTTGCAATCCACAGCTTTACTGGAGCTTTCTTTCTGACCAAACTCAAAACATTTTAAATCATTTTACTGGGCTCTTTGCTCTTGATTTTCAGTATAAATTTGTCAAAAACCCCCCGCCATGCTATTGCCTCAACAATAGACTGCCTTGAAATTTCTTCTGCCAGATTAATTAGTTCACTGCTATTACTCTTAGTGTCAGGCAAAGTCTTTGGACATGAGCAAAATGCAGACAAACTTTCTGCCAAGGCGTAACAACATGGTCTGGAGCCCAACAACCAAGGTAGTCCTTCTTCCTAGGAGAAACCACCTGAGCCCTGGCCTATACTGGCAGAATTTCTATCAGCATTCTGGTCTTCTGAGCCCTGACAAGAATCTCATATCGAGTACACCTTCAGACATTCCAGCTGTGCTTTTTCAGCTGGCATCTCTGAACTTTTCCTAATTCTTCCCCTTCCCATAAGCCAGCTCCAAAAGCTCCTAAACTACATGGTCAGGTACAGTCATAGCAACAACCCCACTTCTTTGGTACTGCATTCTGGCTTAGTTACCTTTCTCGACATCTAGACACAAGTCATAACAGCATGATTATAATCCCAGCATGTCTTAGCTCATTCTGCTTCTTGGGTTTAGTTGAGATTGTAAGTTCTACTTGTCCAGTTAAATCCATATCAAGGAGGGTGAAGGAGTTGAGGGTAATGTGAGTGGAGCCTCTTCATTTAGCAGGGAGCAGTGAGAAGTTGGAATATGGCTTAGAAGATTCTGTACTGTTGAGGGACAGTTGGTGTCCAAAAATCCCAAGAATAAGCCAGAACAAAAGAATAATTTTTGAAATAGAGACTTAGGAGAGGGTATAGTTACTAACAAAGTTTAGGCCAACTGTAATGTCATGCTGTTGGGGGCTGAAATAGAGTAGAAGAAAGACCATTCATGGTGAGGAGATCCAGGTCTGCAAGGTCATGTTGGATCCCGGAAGAGGAAATAGAATAACAGCAAGAAACAACTTTTTAAACTTTCCAGTGCTGTATAGCTTCCTCTTGGTTGCTGAATACTTCCTGTAATGTTAAACATCCAGAAGCTGGCTGAGGTTTAGTCACTGGCCAGTAAGTGGGGACTGTCAACATGGCATTTCATGAGCACTGGCCATGTGCTTTCTGGCAACTGTTCAAGAGTTCATGAGTGGCCCTCCTTCCTGTCCCACGACCACACACCTCATACATTTTTTCTGCTCTTCTCATGGGGTTGTTATCAGCAGGATCACTTCAAATCTCTCTGAGATGTCTTCTGGACTCCTAGATGACATTGGCCCACCAGTCTGATGTGCAGCTCACAATAACCTTTTCAGCTATGCTACCGTGGCAAAAGGGAGAGATTCCACAGCTCAGTGATCATGTGGCCAGATGAATTGTAGTTGTCCTGGAGAGTTTCTCTGGGGGCTCTCCAGACTCTTACCCTTTTTCTTGCATAAATCTCTTCTCCCCACAAACCCTCTGACATAGTCTTATGTATAACTGAGGTAAGCTGTGGAGGGAAGAGTTCTGGTCCTTTCTCTCTGTGAAGAATGAATGGGTGTTTGTCACCCAGTTCCTGGTGTTCCAGCAAAAACTAGGAGTTTTTTTTTTTTTAATTTAAAAAATTAAAAAAAAACAGACAAAACAACAGTGAAGATAAAATTAAAACAACACAAAAATATCAAAAATGATACATGACCTCAAAACAAAATGATAGAAATTTGCAATGGTTGGTATTTATTTCCTATAGTCTTGAATATTTTTTCCTCTCAAAGCCAATTACATGGATCCCTACAATTGTGTAGTCAAAATTCAAGACCATTACATTGTCCCTTTCCTCCTGCTTCTCAGTGGTGTGCAAAAGCCTGCATATTTAAGATAGAAATTGCAGATTAGTGTGAAGATTTGGGACAAAAGTACTAAAACAGTTTCCTAAATCGTACTTAACAACATCTGAGGCATGAGAGGAATCGCCTCCTTATGCTGACCACCCAGGAACCGTAAGAATTAGGTTGTCAGCACATAGGAAATTAATATTGAAATTTGTTTTATTTTGATATAAGTTTTAATTATTTTGTGTTGTCTTAGCCGGATCATGTTTGACTTCAGCTTGGATATATTTAAGTCTCATATATGATTTATCCTAAATTATATTTTATTTCTGTAGATTTCTCCTCTCCTCCCAAATAATAATATAAACTGAATCACTGTGTCCAACATCATCTTCTTGGTATTTTCTTGCAGTCCTCCTACACCACTTACCTTTAAACTGCACAGATGCACTGGGCTCCTTGTCCCTCTCCCCAAGACCCCCACATGCTTTTCCTTCTGCCAAGGATGCCCTCACGCTGCCTCTGCCCCACTTCTCCTGCCTCAGATGCACCCAGCAACTCCTTCTTATCCTTCATTCACCTGCCTCACCTAAACCCTTCCTCAGCCAAACCTCCTCGACCATACCCATCTCACCACTGTGCCCGACAGGACATGCTCTTTAACTTCCTGTGTTTCTCCCTTTAAAGTGCTTTTCCTTATGGGAATAATGATCAGTGGCGAGGTATGGTGGCGCACCCCTGTGATCCCAGCACAGAGGGATTAGGGAGGCTGAGACAGGAGGGGCACCATGTGCTTGAGGCCAGTCTGGGCTACATAGTGAATTTCATAGTGAGACAAAACAAAATGAAAAAATAAAGATAAGTTTATTTCTTTGATGCCTTTCTAACACACTGAACTCTACGCTCCATGGAGGCAAGACAGTGACCATTTCCCCCATGCCTAGCATGGTATCTTGAACATATTTGGCACTCACTAGGTAATTGCTGAACAAATGAATGAAAACTGCCAAACTACCCACAGGGAAATTCAGAGGTGCTGTTAGTATGCTCAGGACCAGTTGAGATTTTGTGTGGACCAGAGGAAGTCTGTAAGCCTCAGAAGGTTGCCCTTCAAACTTTGAGAACTTTTATATTCAAACTTTAAAACGTATGTTTCTTTTGTAATACCTAACTGTATGGAGTAGAAGGTAAACTTAAACATTAGATAGAAAAATCTGTACTCATGATTTTAGTGGTGATATTCTAAGTGCGATTCTAGTTAGAGTAATTGGCATATTGCTTATGTAGGTATTGGCTTAGTAGAAAACTCTGACCACCCTTGAAAATACCGTTTATCTACACATGATCAGTCAATAGGACAGTTGTAGGATTTTTTAAAAAAGGCTTATGTGAAATGAAATCAATTCGAGCCTTTTCCCCATTTATTCTGATTTTATGATTCGGCGTTTTTCTATTGCTGAAATCAGCTGTGTTAAACAATTGTCCTTAAACTCATTGAGAAGTTCATCTATATGCTTCTGAAGATGAAATATAATTTAGTTTATAAAATAAAATGTCCAAATAAAAATTTTCAGATTGAAAGACAATTCTTTCTTTCCTCTTATTTAATTTCACTAGGATCTGTACATAAAACATGACAGTGTTGTCAAAATTTTTTAGTCATGTACCTTCTCAAAGTTCAGAATTTCAAAATGAATACTTCTGTGTTTTACAAGTACAATCGTGATGGTATTTTATCATTTGACTGTAATTTGACCGTGCAAGTACCAGAAAATAAGTAGACCTGGAAGACTATTAGTGCTTGTGATTTGGGCTTGTATAGCAGTTAACACTTGCTGAACGAGATGGGGGAAGTTTCACTTTGCCCTCTTTCCTTTTTTGATAAAATATTCCAAGTCAGTTTGTATTAAATGGACTCAGCAAAAATACCCGTGCTTGTGAAAGTTTCCTCATTTCCATGGATTTAGTTACCCTTCTTTCTGCCTTCCCCATGACTTTCTAAGTGCTTTAGATAATAATCCACTTGAAAAACAAAAACTTAAAGACTTCATTTTCCGCCTGTCCCCCAAATACAATACAGAAACCATGGGACTACTTCCAGGTTACTTCAAAGCTTGATGCCTACAAGTTTTATTCTGAAATTGGTGGGCAGTGATTAGAAATCAGAGTGCACTGAATTAAGAACTTATAGAAATCAAAGTATAATTTGCTTTTCTGTTGCCATCAAGAGCTCTTGACTTTTGAACTCCTGAACACTCTCTTCTAGCTGCTTTCGAAATCTATTGAACAACTGAAGCAACCGGGCAGGCACCTTGAGGAAGCCGAGGAAGAGCTTCAGGGGGACCAGGCGATGCAGGAAGACAGAGCGCCCTCTAGTGACAACAGCACTAGGAGCGACAGCAGTGCTTGTGTGGATGACACTCTGGGACAAGTGGCGGCTGTGAAGGTCAAGGAAGAACCAGTGGACAGTGACGAAGATGCTCAGATCCAGGAAATGGAATCTGGGGAGCAGGCTGCTTTTATGCAACAGGTAATAGGCAAAGATTTAGCTCCAGGATTTGTAATTAAAGTCATTATCTGAACATGAAACGCACTGCAGGTTTTGGTAAATTTCCTATTGGTTTGTATGTCTGGATGACTGATTTTAGTGTCTAAGGATTCGAACAGAAACAGGTAAATATATATGTGTCTATACAGAGATCGATCTATGGTGATCTCTAAAAAGATAGAGAAGTTTCATCGAAACTGCATCAATAAAAAAATACCTGTTACACTAAAATTATGCCACGTGATGTCAAAGTAACTAATAGGCTCTAAATCCATCCCAAGATCTGTTACACCAATTACTTCTAAGCAAAATGAACTCACTATTATTTGTAGTTTATCTGTTGAGTTCGGTGACTGCCAGATATAGTCTCTCCCAGTCTGATCAATGAAGCATTCTATTAATTTTTGATTTTTTTGAACATATGGGAGTCAATTTTCGCATCATTGTACATAATGTATCATACTACAGTCTGGAACACTGTTAAAGGTAGTCTGCCCCTTCTTTCCTCTCTCTTTTTTGTTAAGTAGAAGTGTTCTGGTCACTGTGCCAGTAGTCCTAGATTATTGTGTACATTGCAATTGAAAATAATAGGAATACAGGTGGTTTAAATATAGAGATGCAAATTGGAGTACTGTTTTAAACTACTATGTTATGTTTCACATGACACTGTGCATTTTACTTTTATCTTGTGTAATTTGATGGCATTGTCTATTGAAAAAAATCAATCGATGCAGATGCACATGTTGGTGAGAAGTAATTTGCAGAAATGTGGTCCAATCAGATACTACATAGTATCTACAATTGTAGCAAACACAGTAACAATATGATTATCACTTGCTATCACATCAAAATCAGTTTTAAAAGCTGTATGATATTTTATGATTATTATCACTAGAATATCTCAAATGTAATTCCATAATGGCATAGCATATGCCATATCATTTTAGCAAAAAAAAAAAAGGGAAGAAAATTGGGTCTCACAAAAGATTTGACTTGTACATAATGCACCTTCAGAAAGATTGTGTGCTTTGATGCTATAAAATACAAACATCTTTGAAAGCAACAGAAGACAATGTTTATTTAAGTAAGTTCTTTGTCAGGTTCCTGCTGTTCTCCTACAGAAAAGTGGTTCTGTAAGGCTGAACAGGAAATGCCTTGTGGAAACAGGAAGTCCAAGTGATTCATGTACTGAGGAATGTAGGGAAAAAAATCTGAGGATAGTGTTTTACTCTTTCTGTTTTTAAAGGGCACTCTATGAATTGATTTATTGTCTAAGAAAATAACACCACAAGTAGGGAAATTGTTACGGAAGCTTTTCACTGGAACATTTCCTTCATATTCCCTTTTGATATGTTTACCTTGTTTTATAGGTTTACTTTTGTTAAGCTAGTTAAAGGTTCGTTGTATTAAGACCTCTTTAATATGGATAATCCAAATTGACCTAGAATCTTTGTGAGGTTTTTTCTATTAAAATATTTATATTTCTAAATTTGAGGTACTTTAAGGTGTAGTATCCTATTTCAGAGGAGATACAGCAGTTTTGCCAAATGTAGACATTGTTGAAATGTATGTTATTGGCACGTATTGTTTACATTTTGCTGTGACATTTAAAAATATTTCTTTAAAACTGTTACTGCTAAAGATACATTATCCTTTTTTAAAAAGCTTCCATTCAAATTAAATTAACATAACTAGAAGTTAGAAAGTTTAAAACTTTTCCATATAATGAACGTCCTGCTGATAATTTGACAAATAGCTATAATAGGCAACACTCCCTGTCACCAACATATTTTGGTTAGTATATTTCTTCATATTAAAATGACTTTTTGTCAGTTGTTTTGCATTATAAAAATATGGCATGCCTAAGATAAAATTGTATATTTTTCCATCTCATAAATATTCATTTTCTTCAAAGTCTTTTTTTCCAATCTCATAAAAAAGGGATAGTGCATCTTTTAAAATACATTTTATTTGGGGAGGAACATGTGGCTGAGCAGACTTTTGTATAATATTACTTCAAAGATATGTAATCACAAACAAAAAAACTATTTTTTATAATGTCATTGAGAGAGAGTTTCATCAGTACAGTTGGTGGACATTACTTGTTTGAATATGATAGTCTTTGAATTTAATCAGGAAACTACCTGGAACCAGTGAAAAGGAAAGCTGGACTTAAATAATCTTACAACTAATTGATAAATGTCTCTTTTAAAATCTACTGTATTTATTATAATTTACACCCTTGAAGGTGATCTCTTGTTTTGTGTTGTAAATATATTGTTTGTATGTTTCCCTTCTTGCCTTCTGTTATAAGTCTCTTCCTTTCTCAAATAAAGTTTTTTTTAAAAGATCCCCTTTCATACATTTGGCTTTGTGTAAACTTGATATATTTAACGGAATTGAAACTTGTATACTAGGTCTCATATACCAAAATATATTGCCATTTTTTGTTGAAACAAGAAAATAAAGATATTTTGAGCAGTTCTAATGCCATTAAAAATAATACATTCAACAATAGTGAATTAAACCCTACATCAGCCAATATCAAATAGCAAGCATGTAAAATTTGTGGCATTTTCCTTTTTGCAGTGTGACCTTTATCATGATATCATCCTCGGTATTTAAATTAAAATGTCAACTTTTAGCTATAAAAGTTTAGGTAAATAGATATCAGTTCTTAACTCTACTCAACTTAAAAAAAAACTTTTAAAAGCTTAACATAGTCCCTTCAATATAACAAGCACTCCATAAATATTAAAATGAATAACTCCAATATCATAATAATTGTTTATGCAGTGAGATCCTGAATTGCAGGTATAAAGTAACAGTGAATAAATTTAAAGAGAAAATGGTAGTTAAATGATTTCCCCTTTTTATGGTAACCGTTGCTATCATACTCTTTGTGGAGAACAAAGAGGCAGCTCTGGTAAAGGGAACTGTACTATACATAGCTATGGGCCTTGAGGTAGCTACCGAGCTCCTCTTCTGATCTGCTGCCAACAAAATCAACCCACCAGTGCTTTAAAATTTGTATCTGTATATTTGGGTCAATAGGTTAAAAGTGATTCTGTATGTTTTTTGGTTCATTTGATATAACTCTTAGTAGTGCCATACAAATGAATGTTACTCTAAGCCATGACAGTACTGCATTAGTATGAAGAAATAGAGATATAATTATTGACTATTACACAATATGTTATCTTTCAATAATGCCATAATTTGATAATTGGGTTAGAACTCTGAAAATATCATGAATTCTAGTCATAAGTTCCTGAAATTTGCCTTTTGACTATAAATTAACTGATTAACTCAGTACTAGAAATCCTAAAATAAGAATTGGAGGAATCAAATAATGCTTTTATAGTGAATATCTTATTTCTGATGTGATACGTAAAGTGGCTGTCTTAATAAAGAGTATTGATCTAAGGTTAGAAACCTTTCTCCAGAAAAATAATTTTCACCATGGCTTGATGTAATCATATTTCCTCTTCTTCAGGAAAAAGACACATTCTCCTTGGTGAAGTGTGTGCTGCTATTTTCATAGATCTTAGAAAAGGAGTCTTTATGAATTTTTATATTGTTTATATTTTTAAATATATTTATGTTGTTTTCCAAAGGATGCTAAAAAGTAATGCAGCCAGCATATATTTTTGAAATCTAATATTTAATAGCATATAGATAATATAATTATTTTAATTTGGCATTTCTTTGTGACTTATTACTACCTATAGGTATAAATGTTGGATATACAATAGAGGGTTTATGGGAATAAAAATTGAGGTCTATAGTTGTAATATAGATGGAAACTTAGAGATAAAAGAGAAGGCATTTGAGACTGTCATTCCATTTATCATTGATAATTTCTCCACCCAGTTTTAAGGGGGGAAGTATAGGAGGGTCATCAGAGGGAAATAAAAGGGTTACTGAGGATATGATTTTTAACTGAGCTGAGACAAAGAGATTTCTTTGTTGTAGGACTTCTTAGCTGGTAAACTGTTTAGACAATGCAGTGTTTTGGGATCATCTTGATTCACCAAAACACTCAACTATTGCCTCCCTGGAGTGCACCGGGTATCACGGCAAGCACCTCCTATCCATTAATCTATTCAGTCAGCACACATCAACTTGCTTATACTTCTCAAACCACCTTCAGAGGTAGGTATTAACTACTATGCCATCCCAGAGCTGAGAGCAATTGGGCACAGAGAAAAGTCAAGGTCACCCAGTTAGTGGCAGATAAGGTATAATCTGAACCTGGGCATTCTGGCACCAGACACCTTGTCTCAATTTTTGTGACTGCACTATATTTGTGTGTCACTTTTTTACATGTCCAGTATACTTGCTTCAGTCCCATCTATTCAGTTGAGAAAACTTCTCTATACTCCCTTCCATCACTTTTTGCCCCTCTTATTAGGATTTACAAAATTGTTTTGAATCAGTTGTCTCTTTTAATCACTGCTTTAAATTACAGGACTATGATTCTTTCTTTCTAACTCATAGAAGAGGGTTCTAGTTCTTGCATGAGGTGTCCAGCCATTCTTGATCATGAAAACCCGTTGGTTTCTTCTTTCTGACTGGAACCAGTGCTGAGCGGGAGGGAATCAGTGGCTGCACTTCCGGTTGGCTCTGTGGGGCCTGGCACAGGAGTGGGTGGGTGTAGGGTAAGAGGAAGGACTTTAGCCTGCTGCTTTCACCACTTCTCACCTTCCTCTCTCAGCAGCTGAGGCAAAGAACCCAATTTCTAAGCACGAAGCTGTTTTTAAAAATTTAAACCTATCAAGGATGCACTTGGTAATCGTTTTGACTAAACTGGTCTGTATGAAATGTGGTGAAAGTGAAAAGTGGAGTCATTTGTCCAGTTCTAGATGTTCTACGTGGTTTTGAATCAGAAGGTGCATAAAAAGTCCTTTTAAGGCTCCATTAGATTTTGTCCACGTCCCCATAGGTTCTGGTCTTGTCCTGAAAAAGAGTTCAGGAGTCTACATTTTTCAAACCCTTTGAGGAAGTCTGATTCAAAAGTTTGGGTGATGGCCAAGGGCACTAACTACTTTCTGAAATATGGCCTGATTTTTAATAGTTTTTACCTAAGATCCTTGGATTTTCTGATTCATAGTCTTAAGAATATATTGTCTCATAGTTCTATATTAACATGTGTTTTTATTTCTCTGGAGTATGAATCTGAGAGTGAAATTGCTGGATCCTAGGGAAATTCTTTGGGGGAGCCCCCAAACTGCTCTTCCCAGAGCTGACAGGCTTTACCTGCCCACTAGCAATGTGTGAGCGTTCCAGCTTCTTCACACCCTGCCCAGCACCTTTCCCCCACCCCTTTTGCGGAAGTGGCCATATTAATAGGTGTGAAGCGCTAGCATTTCTTGCTTTGTTTCACTAAGGACTGATAGTAATGAGTTTATTGGAGCTCATTTGGACGTTTGTATGATTTCCTTAGAGAAATGTCCATTCAAGTCTTTCACCCATTTTTCAAAATGGCCTATTTGTGTCTTTGTGACTGAGTTGCAAGAATTTATACATATGTTTTGATTTACATACCCTTATCAGATGTATGTGTTACAAATATTCTCCCATTTTAGGGGATTTTTTTTTTTGCCTCAATAATGTTCATTAACAAGTAAACTTTTTCATGCTCCTGAAATCCAGTGTATCTATTTGTCTAGTTGTTCCTTGCGCTTTGGTGCTGTACCTAAGAAATCATCGCTTAACCCAAGATCAAAAAGATTTACCTCGTGTTTCTACTGGTAAAAGTAGCACTCGCTTTTAAGTCTTTGGCTGATTCTGAGTCATATGCACTACTTTAAAAATAATTTTCTTCCATGTACTTGAGTTACTGTTAAAGAAATACGATCTTCATGACTGGTGGACTCTTTTTTCAGGCATCATCTCTCTGTTTTTACTTCTGCTTGATTTTGGGCTTGCTCTCCTGGTATTCCTGCTGCTGACCTCTGTTTCTGTCTAGCATTTGATATCTTTCTCTAATTCCCCAAAACTCATTCAAATACTATAATCGTGATATTTGTTATAGTTGATATAAACTGAGTAGAAATAATTAGTTTATTTTTCTTTCAGGAATGCCTTTCATCCGGTACTCTTCAAAAACTAAATCAGTTATTTTCTGCATAGATGTGGTTTTCAAATCCTGCACTAGATACTCATTTTTGCTTATGTCTGTTTTGCACTCAGATTTCATGTTAACTAATATTCATGTCATTGCTTTGATCTTTGGGCCTCTATTAATAGAATTTCTGTGAAGAGCCCTAGAATTACATCATTAAAGATGGTAGCCACATACAGCTATTGAACACTTAAAATGTGGCTGGTGAAAATTGAGATGTGCAATAAATGGAAACTACACATCATATTTTAAAGGTATTACATAGAAATATCTTTATATTTCAGTAAGCTTGATGTCTGTTGATTGCATATTGAAATGAGAATATTTTAAATATATGGGGTTGTGTAATATTGTTTATGTTCTTTAAAATGTGGCTGTTAGGAAATCTAAGATTATGTATGAGCCTTGCATTAATGGCTCACATATTTTTATTTGTATTTTATATTTCTGTTGATCTTCAGCTCATTTTATAGTTTGCTAATTTATAGATCTCATCGCATCATTTTGAAAATATGTAGTCTGCAAAACCTGAACCAATGAATATTTGCTCTGGCCACCATCTTTCTGTTTCACTTAGTCTGTCAGGCATAAAATGTTAGCATTAAAGAGATCTGAGAACTGTAATAGTTGAAAGACCTGAAAGTCTCTGTACTTTAAAGACAACTCACTCTATCAATACTAGTTGTAAAGACAATTCTTTCTGTGCTTTACTCACTTTCATCTCTAAATTAGCAAATTCATCTCCAGTATCCGCCCCATCTGGCTTTTTAAATATTTGTTAGTGAAACCACAGTTTAGAAACAGGAAAGATTATCTGCAAGTCATCTTTTTTTTTTTTTCTGGTACCAGGAATCGAACTCATGACTTTGCACTTGCCAGGCAGGTGCTGTGCAGCTGAGCTAGATCCCCAGCCCCAACTGGGAGTCATCTTTGACTGTCTTCTCTTGTTTATCTCATAGAAAGTAGTTGGTCTTCCTGTCTCTAACTTCAAACCATCACATCTCTTTACTTTTTCTTTATCTCTGCCTTCAGTCAAGAGCCCAGTTAATACCAAATCCAAGCTTTTATAATTGTATTAATCTCCTTCCATCAGGGTGGTATTTATACAAATTCAATCAATTTACTGTGAAATACCAGTACCATTTTCCATTGGCTGGCACAACCTTCAGTGATTCCTTCCAAATGAATTCATCTAAATGCTATCAAGGTGTTAGAGTCCTC